GAGGGGTGCAGACTTTGGCACTGCAACACCAGCTCTTATTGCTCGGAAGTCCAGAGAGTCCTAGTGGCTGAAAACTTATCAAGGTCATAAAATTAGCTAATAACCCAACACACTCTTTTAAAATTTATTGATTGATTGATTGATTTGGGGGGGGGGGCGGAGAAGGAGAGAGAGAGAGAGAGAGAGAGAGAGAGAGAGAGAGAGAGAAACATCAATTTGTTCCACTTGTTTATGCATTCATTGGTTGATTCTTATATGTGTCCTGACCGGGGATGGGACCTGCAACCTTGGTATTGTGGACAAAAGGGGCCACATGCTAACCTGACAAGCTCGGGGAAGGCCTGCATGGTGGTCTTGCAAAATCAGAGACCTAGAGTAACCACAAAGGATGGTCTGAAATTAAACTTTAACTAACAACAGGTTATAGTAAGTAGTCATGTCCTAGGTCAATATTTTCCCTGACAAAGATCAACTTAGATCTTTACTGAACCCATTTGTCTTTTTGCCTCTAAGATAACATATCTGTGAAATGTCTGAGTAACTTGTAAATTCTCTCTTTTTTTTTTCTGGACCCTTCAGGGCACAACAAATGGCACCAGGACATTCCCTCATTGTTATTGTTACCAAGTTAATCCTCAACTGTTAACTATGTTAAATTATCCTGTATCCATCTATGTAGAAGAGGCATATGTCCATCATTTCACTTTTTATCCTATCCCAGAGGTTCTCCCCGCCCTCTCCCTCCCCCCGGCTTTGCTTTATCCCACCTCCTTAATCTATCACCAATGAATTTCATGTAACCCACTTACGTATTTTCCTTTTGATGGTAATTTATAAAAACAAGTTATGAACTCCCCATTCTCCGGAGCATTACCTCAATTCGTTGAGGTTCTGTTTCCCTGCATATGTCTACAGTTTGGCTCAAGTAAGATAGATTCTCTTTTTTTTCACTGTGATAAGTGGAGCAATGTCTTCCTCCCCCCACCAAAGTGTTTACATCCTAAACCCTGGAACCAGTGAATATGTTTTGTTCCATGGCAAAGAGGAATGATAGTGCAGGTGGGATTAAGGTTGCTAATCAGCTGACCTTAAAACAGGGAGGTTTCCTGGAGTATCTGGGTGGATTCCAATGTCAGTATTCACAGAGGTGAAAGGAGGTAGAAGAGTCAGTGTCAGAGTGGTGTCATGTGAAAAAGACAGGACTGGACATTTATGGAGGAAAGACTGTTCCACGACGTGACCCTGCAAGCTGGAGCTGGGCCAGAATGGAGACTGCTTACCACCAATCCCCCTACAGACTGGTCATAATCAGTGTTCATTCTGACATAAGTCAGCACCCCTCCCCAGCCTCCCACTATGTGCTGGTTCCTGGAACAGGTCATTGTCCTGACTTGGTCAAGCATGTAAAGTAACTTTCCATACCTGGTAGCATTCACATACTGGTACCCATGATGATCCCCTTACCCTAAAATTCATTGGCACCCTAATCAGCATGGGGGTCCCATTTGGTTAAGCAGCTGCCCAAGATGGACCTGCCTCATATGTAAGTTTCCCTTAATGAACTCTTCGTTACCAGGCTGGAGTGGCCAGCCTCTTTTTCCCATCTTTCCCTGCCCTCTGCTTGCTAAGATACATCTTCAGTTCTGGGGCCTTTCCCTGGGCCTGCGTGCACTAACATTACTGGCTTTGACAATGGAAGGGGGCCACCAGCTGTTAGACACGAAAAAGGCAAGAAAGCAGTGTTGGCCAACAACTTGATTTTAACCCAGTGACATTCCTTTTGGACTTTTTTTAAAAAAAATATATATTTTATTGATTTTTTACAGAGAGGAAGGGAGAGGGATAGTTAGAAACATCGATGAGAGAGAAACATCAATTCAGCTGCCTCTTGCACGCCCCCTACTGGGGATGTGCCCACAACCCAGGTACATGCCCTTGACAGGAATCGAACCTGGGACCCTTCAGTCCGCAGGCCGACACTCTATCCGCTGAGCCAAACCAGTTAGGGCTCCTTTTGGACTTTTGACCTCCAGTGCCGTGAGATAATATATTTGTGTTAAGTCATTAAATTTGTGGGGATTTGTTACAGCAACAATAGAAAACCAGTATACTCTCTGAAGCGTCTAAAACACACGATAACAAAACTCAATAATACATCCTACGAGTTTTAAAAAGTACCTATTATTCCTTTGAGATTTGATCTTAGCTAATCATAGCAATTAAGAGTAACAGCCAATATGCAAGCATAATACCTATTGTGTGTCAAGAGCCGTTCTTGATCATGTTAGAGGCGTTAACTCATTTAAACCTTTTCAGAACATGATGAGGCAGATTCTGGTACCAGTCACACTTTGTAGAGAAGAGAATGAGGCCCGGAGAAGTTGTGTAACTTGTCCAAGGTCACCAAGCCAGAAAGCTGCAGTATGGGGCTTGAACCCAGAGAGTCTGTCCGCTGCTATGCTCTTCTGCTTCTCTCAGTGGTAGTGGCCCCAGAGCATGCTCACCCAGAGTCTTATCCCAGAGCGAAACAAAATTGCCATGGAGACTTGAAAGAAAATGATGTCTAAATGAAAGACATCACAGGAACACAAGAAGCTTAAGGTTCGTTTGAAAACAAATAGAAAAACGAATCCATGGTAGGCATGGAGATCCATTTTTTCTAGTTCATAGATTTTTTTTTCTTTGAAATATTTTTAGCTTTCTCCTGCAGGCTTCCCTTACGGCTATTCAACCTTTCTCTCTCCTTAGCCCTGATACACAATAACTGTACCTTAACTTAAGTCCTGAGATTTCCTAGTCTTGCAGATATGGATTCTTCAAGAACCAATCAACACGTCTGTGGTTTCTCAGCTCGGATGCTCTGTTCCTTCTTGCTTCTTGTCCTCTTCAGATACCTTACCCCACCTACTCGTCTACATGCAGCGAAGGGAGGAGGTGAAAAGAAAATCTGCAGACATACTGACTTGTTAAAAAGCTCTGACAAAAGAAGAGGTTTGCCCATAATTGCCTACCATGGATCCTTTTTTCTATTTGTTTTCAAATGAAACTTAAGCTTCTTGTGTTCCTGTGACGTTTTTAATTTAGACATCATTTTCTTTCAAGTCTTCATTTCTAATGGAAGCTTTTGAGATTTGCTAATTCGATTCACTCCCGCTCTGCTATACTCTCCATTATCACGGATGGTCAGGCATTGGCTTTAATCATAGTTTGTTTGTGTCACCCCCCCCCCGCCCTTTTTCCTGTCTCTTGACACAGAAAACCAAAACAAGTAGTCAACATCGGGTTTTTTCTCCTTCAAGTCTTCTTTCCCAGTTTAACTATGCTTCACTCTATGTGATAACCCGGGAATGGAAATAGATTAGTGGTGGCCAACCGGTCGGCGGGGACTGTCAAAAGTATTCTTGGAAAGGATTTGTAGAAAAGTCTGGGTTCTACGGAAGAGTTTGGTGACCTATTAGCAGATGGAGATGTTCATTGGTAAATGTAGCTGTGCATTTTGGAGGTGAGCTAGGTATTGCAGCCGCCATACACTCACCGTGCCTGCTGTAGTGAGTCAAGAACTGCTTCATGATAAATGTCTACTGAGCTCCTGTGGGGAGGAGCTTGGGCCTCGGAAGCACCATCTGTTTCAACATTACCATTTTCTCAGTCCTCAGAGTTTTCAAGAACAAATAATTAAAACTACATAAAAGCACATAGAAGACACTGAGAGTGCACCTCAGCCCAGAGATGAAACCGAAGCAATTTCATATGATCCCCACTTGAAAAATTAGGAGTTACCAAAATAGAAATGTTGAGCAATATGTGCGAAGCCCCTGAGGGATTAGATCCCTCGCAAACATCTGCCTCTCAAAACTGTGTGAAGATGGAGCACCGAGTCTATTCTTTTCTCTTTCTTTCTAGGCCAGTCCCTGCGGGGTCAGTCTCGTCAATTACTCTTCTCTACATTGCCTGTCACTTATGTGCTGTCTTGCTCTGGGGTTGTGATAGTTAAAAGAACATATAAATCAAACTGTGGAGTTTTGTCTAGTTTCCTGGCTTCTTGCCTCAATTTTCTTTCATTTTTAATCCTCACCTGAGGAATAAGGATATTTTTTTTCCATTGATTTTAGAGAGAGTAGAAGGGAGAGGGGAAGAAGAAAGAGAAAAATTGATGTGAGACACATCGACTGGTTGCCTTCCGCCCATGTCCTGATTGGGGGCGGGGATCAGACCTACAACCCACGTATGTGCCCTTGACCGGAATCGAACCTGTGACCCCTTGGTGCTCAGGCCAAGGCTGGAACTACTCTGCTTAATTTTTGCTTTGGAGACTAGTTATAAAATGGGTGAATTGTCTTTAAACCAGAGGTCACTGCACAAAGTTTGAAAAGCCTGGTAATTAACAAGGACTCATGAAATCAGACCTCTGGTTAAACCGAATGAAATATCAGTTGAAAGACTATTTGGATATACTGTTGAGGTTTCGTCTAGGTTCGAGCTTTAAAAAAATACACAGTTTAAAACACACACACTCACACACACACGGAGTGTCAGCTTCAAATTGGTCTGTGAGGTGCACTTTCCAAAACACTGGTTGGGGTCACACAGTTCCGGGGCGGGGGCCATTCAGGTGATATTTAATTTGATTCACTCCAGCTTTCAGGACTTAAGTTAAGGTAAATTTACTGTGTCTGCCATTTTTTAACAATATATTTTGATTGATTTCAGAGAGGAAGTGAGAGGGAGGGAGAGTAGAAACATCAATGATGAGAGAGAATCATTGATTGGCTGCCTTCTGCTCTCCCCGTACTGGGAATCGAGCCTATAACCCCGGGCATATGCCCTAGCCAGGAATCTAACCGTGACCTCCTTGTTCATAGGCCAACGCTCAACCACTGAGGCACACCAGCCGGGCTGGGTCTGCCATTTTTGACAGCCAGGTGAGTGGAAAAGAAAAGTACTTTCAGAACTCAGAGATTCAGAAAATTTCATTAAAAAACCAAAACAAAGTTTATACAAGGATCACCAGGCAGAAGGTGGTGAGAAGACTCAGGACAGGACAGCGCACAAATCACACACCCTAGCCTCGGAAGATGGGGAACTGCCTCAGATCCCCCACTTCGGATGACATCTCTCTGATCCACGAGTCTCAGTCCGACCGGGTTAGTTTCGGCGAAGGGACGGAGCCGGACCAGGAGCCGCCGCCTCCATATCAGGAACAAGTTCCAGTTCCGGTCTATCATCCAACACCTAGCCAGACTCGCCTAGCAACTCAGCTGACTGAAGAGGAACAAATTAGGATAGCTCAAAGAATAGGCCTTATACAACATCTGCCTAAAGGAGTTTATGACCCTGGAAGAGATGGATCAGAAAAAAAGATCCGGGAGTGTGTGATCTGTATGACGGACTTTGTTTATGGGGACCCAATTCGATTTCTGCCGTGCATGCACATCTGTCACCTGGACTGTATAGATGACTGGTTGATGAGATCCTTCACATGCCCCTCCTGCATGGAGCCAGTTGATGCAGCACTGCTTTCGTCCTATGAGACTAATTGAGCCAGGATCTCTCATCTGACTTCAAGTGAACCTTCATTTTTTGGTGGTTTTGATCTTTTGTCACTGAGCCCAAAGAGCCAGGGATTAGGAATTAAGATCATGCACAAATGTTTCCTAAAAATTCCTGAATGGCTGCAGATGTTGGGGAAAAGTACGTCATATTTTAGAAACTTAGGGGGAAAAGTAGGATGGTATTTTTATGTAAAGCCTTGACCCAGTGTTTAAAAAAATATAATTGTATTTAGATCTTGTTATTGCTCCAGTACATAGGAATTGTGTAAAGTGTTACAGCAGCTGTTATATGTTTAAATCGTGTGTGTTGAAAAAAAAACCAAAAAAAAAACCCAAAACAGAATCCATGTTCCTTGAAGAGGCACCGAAACAAAGACAATTGAACATCATATTTGCTTTTGGTTACATAATACCTTTTAGTTGGAATAGTTCTTTAAGTGTTACTACATAGCGTTTATATTTATTATACAATTTAAAGAAAAAAGTGATAATCTCTCATGTTCCTGCTAAGGCTATAGAGACTTGTGGCAAAATTGCTGTGTGTCCACCAAAATCCATTTGTTCCCTCTTGGGCAGACGACTAGCCTACGTTTCTCAGCCTCTTCTCTACTTAGTTGTGACCACGTGACTGGGTTCTAACCAGTGCAATGTGGGTGGATGTGAGCCACATGACTGCCAGGCCCAAGCCCCCTTCCCTGCCAACTCCTGCAATATTCTTCATACTCTCTCTGACGTCCTTCCTCAGATGATACGATCCGAAAGGACTTTGAGACCCCAGTTATTCTGAAGTCACAAGATGGAATGACCACAATGGACATTGTGTCAGAGAGAAATTTTTGTTGTGTGAAGCCACTGAGATCTTGGGGTCTGCTATAATAGCTGGCATTGCTTACTCCAGAACAGAAATGGTCTTTGCAACCAAGATAAACGACAGTGTCATTAATAGCCAGCCTGATTATATAAAACTGCATTACTCTCACCGGTTAACTTGGATTTGAATTGAAATCTCAAAATCTATACCTTCCATTGCCGTAGCACACAACGACAAAAGAGCTAGTTGAAGATTCAGCCAGTTGATTATTGTGCTATTTGTTATACCCAATGACTGGTTTGTCTAATATGTAAATGAAGCTGACAGGTATTTAAATTCAAGAGGCTAATTGTTTTGGTGATAGAAAAATGTTAAAGTCTCACTTGTCATTTATGTTAAGAATTTGAAATTTTTATTTTATTTTTTTATCTGTTTCAACCACAGTTAAATGAACGTCTTTTCTTTTTAAACCTTCAGTTTACCTTAAGGCATTTGAATATTCAACTTAAAAGAACAACTTTTAATTTATTTTAAGAGTTTCTCAATGATACTTTCACCACTTTAGTTTGTGCACTTAATCTTTTGTTTTCTAGAGAAGTGTCCAAGTGAGTATATTTTTTGGGGAAATGATAGGCAGAATGATATAAAACAGTGAATTTTTTTACTATAACATTATAAGACTAACCCATGAGAAACAAAGGAGTAACAGAACAACAAAAACTTTATAAACAATGTGCTTTCAAATAATCTTAAGATATAAGAGGAGAAAAAAAATGGACTCTTAAAAATTAATCTCAGTGGTAGAACTTGGATGCCTTTGGGAACACAAATTGGAAGCTACTTATTAAACAAGGGTAATTTGTTCTGGGTCCACACCACAAAATGGCTTCAAAGGTTTTTAAAGTAGGTCGTTTGGATACTCTGAAATGTTTAGCGGGTGGTAACTTTCCTTAGCGTGTTCATATGAGAGGTAGGGTGCATCCCAATAGTATCCTGGGGATTTCTGACCATATCAAAGCAAACTGAACTACATCATCAAGGAACTCTAATGAGCCAGTTTGTTTAATCGAAATGCTTTAAATTACCATGTAGTACAGCATGAAAAAATCATTATTTCCATTAGCTGAACTATTTCTCTTAATCCCAAACTAAAAGTTCTAATATTGAAGCATGATATAATAAATGCATTGCAAAACATGTTAAACAGCAGGTTGCAAAGAGGAATTTAAATGAAAGAATTCATTTAAAAATACCAATATTTTGCCTTAAACGTTACTCTTAGGCATCTATATCCTATTGCCAGCTTTGCCAAACTACTAATTGTGGCATCACCATTTAGTTATCCTTTTTGTCTTGTAGAC